TATAGGAGGTGGAGGGTCAAGCGAAGGCAAGATCCCAGTAAAACATAGTCATCACTAACATGCATTAGGGGACTCCTCCATGGTGTAGATTTCATGAGTCACCACCCATGTTCAAGAGGGCTTTTTGGTAATATCTTTACCTTTGAGTGACCCTAGTACTACAAGTAACCCCTTAAGAATTCTCCTCTAAATAAGTTCAATAAAGGCATAGGTTCCCATAGCTGGTCTTGCACGGATGTGTTATTTTGATCTGTTGTTGCTGTCCTGTCTGGGATGTACAGCTATTTGTTCATATAGTCCCAGGAAAATTAACTCAGTATATCTCCAGTTTATTGTTCTTACTATACACATGAGAAAATTATGTAAAGTGCAATGACCCTTACATTTACAACCAGGAAACCTGAATTCAATTCCAAGCAATGCCACTCCTGGTTGAGTGACCTTAGATACTATACCACACTGAACCTTAGTGTCTTCTTTTAATAGAGTACATGAGCCTCTACTTTCCAGGGTAATTAAAAGCTTTAAAAGAGAACATGCTTGGGGGGGGTGAATTACATGGAGGTAGCATTGAACGGCAGGGAGAACTAATGAGACATGAGATGGAAAAAAAGCCCTTCACACTAGGATTCCAGATCTAGTCTTTCCTGCTGACTCAGAGTCGAGAAACTTCAACACAACTTACAAACTAAAAATTATCTGTAGAAATAATGGTTGTTTTCCTAAAGACATCTCCAGTACAAATGTTAAAACAATAAATTAATGGTGCTTACTTAGGGCAAAAATGTTTCTAATTTTGAGTTTTACCATGTTAGCCATCCAATCTTATCTCTAATAATACACAGTGTACCTCAAAAATGACTTATCATTTCATTGATAAATGAAAGCTCTTTAAGAAACATACATTAGATAAAATACCTTTACTTAACTTTTAAACTTTACATAAGATTTACTTAATCTTAAAACCTTGTTGTAAATCAGAATTCTTTAAGCAATTTAACCTTATTTTTATTAAAATATAATTACATCTCCGTTTCATATTCGATTTCCTTCTTTCAACTACTCCCAAGATCATATACATAGCCATTATAAGGAAATCTAAGCATGAGAGTCTCTAGAGAAGCCCAGGTCCTGTCATAGGATCATATTCTATCCTATTCCTACATATTTCTATAAGAATAATTTAAAATACACTAATGTTGGTTTATAATGATTCATCCTGAAATTCTTTTCTGTAACATAGTCAATTTTTTTTACCTGAATAGCAGTTCCTAAGTAGGATGGGAACTCCTCGCGATGCTGGTGGTAAGTAGCACTGGCTGTGTTTCTCTGTCGCTGGTGACAGTACCTAGCAACTACTGGTGAAGCCACAAACCCAACTAGCAACAGAGTTTTATGTATTCAGCTTCAATCCAATTAGGTCACAAAATAGTCTACCAAGAATTATTACAACAAGACAGGCCTGGTGATAGAAACCTGTAATTTCAGCTACTCAAGAGGCTAAGGCTGGGAGCTGGGGTGGGATCACAAGTTTTAATCTTGCTTAGACTACAGAGTGAGTGCAAAGCCAGCACTTTATTTAGACACTGTCTCAAAACAAAAACTTTGTAAGGGGGATATCGTTCAGGAGGTAGAGCGATTTGTCCAGCATATACAAAATCCTAGGTTTTATTCACAGCAATACAAAGGAGGGAATCATTACAACAGAGTATCTATAAAATTTAAGGAAACTGTACATGGGTCTCATAAACTAAAGAAAATATTCAAGTCAAAACTGGTTAGGGATCAGACCTCAATGGGAACATGACAATATAACTCTCTGGGTAGAAGCAAAGTCCAAGTCCAGGGAGATGTCTGGGTCTGGGCTATTGCCACAGAGGCCTGTGGTCTGTGATGCCACCTGGGTCCATGATGATATCCAAGGGACATACTGCCACAAGGGCCATGAAAATATGAGTGGCCTGTGCTCTCACCAAGGGCCATGGTGTAATCTGGGCCAGGGCTGCTGCTGATGGCCATGTCTGGGTCTGTGACTATAAGGCAATCAGGGTCTGAGTTGATGTCCATGGCTACTGTCACCACCGAAGGCCATAAGGATGACCATGCAGTCAGCCACCTGAGACCATCTCATTGTCCAAGGGCCATGCCACTGCCAGGGCCATACTGATCTGGGTAGCCAATGCTGCCACCTGGGGCCATGGAGATGTCTGGCCATCTATGAACTTTTGAGGCATGTGAAGAGGAACCTGCAGATCCAAAACTTCAGGGGCTCCATAACACAGGACAAAATGATATCTAAGAGGAGTCCCAGTGAGGGCCCAACATCAAGAGGTAGCAGGAGTCAGAGAACTCAAAACAGACCAATGATTCATGCATGAACACCTGCAAGAAAAGATGAATGGGCTAAAGGATAAACTGTGTGACTCAATGAACTACAGCTTCCATGATGAGATTTTTCTCCTTTTATTTTGGTTTGGTTTTTTGCTTTTCTTTTGCATTTTGTTTTATTCGGGGGTGTTACATGGGCAGAGCACAGATGCAAAGAGACAGAGAAATAAGTGGGATTGGGATACATGATGTGAAATCCACAGAGAATCAGTAAAAGTTAAAAATAAATAAGTCCTTCGATTTTTCTCTTCTTGAATTTTACTATTATCAGGCAGAAGAAAAGCAAGCTACTTCTTACATAGTCTGCTTAAAATCTCCTCAGCTCAATCCCCATCAAAATCCCAACACAATTCTTTACAGTCATTTAAAGAATAATACTCACCTTCAGATGGAAAAACAAAATACCCAGGACAGCTAAAACAAACCTGTACAATAAAAGAAGAGAAGGAGGTACCACTATCCCTGATTTTAAGCTCTACTACAGAACTATAGTTATAAAAACCTGCATGGTTTTGCCATAAAAACAGACAGGTGGACCAATGAAATCGAATCAAAGACCCAGACATAAATCCACACAACTATGAATACTTCTTAAATAAAGATAGAAATTCATACCGAAAAAAGAAAGCATCTTCAACAAATGGTGCCGGTTAAAGTGAATGTCTGCATGTAGAAGTATGCAAATAGATCCATTATCACCTTAATGCCCATATTTCTCATAACACTACATAAATTACCACACATAAGACAGTGGAAGTTTTTTCAATAACTCTCCTCATTCATTTCTGAATCCTCACCATATATAAGTCATTCCACAGCACTGTCCACTTACCCTGGTATGTTCGTCAAAACTGTCCCAGCCCACCTAGTGTTTGGTTCTGGTGGTGCCTTCACAGTTTTAGATATAGTTACATGCTACATAATAACATTTGATATTTTTCAACAACTGACTACATATGTGACTGTGTTGACATATTTTTATGATCTAATGGAAATCAAAATGCAAAGATAGCCACAGCCATAGAGCCAGGCAGTGATGATACACACCTTTAATCCCAGGACTCAGAAGACAAAGGCAGATGAATCTCTGTGAGTTCAAGGTCACCCAGGGCTACATTAGAGTGAATCAATCTAAAGGAGGAACAGCTCACACAAAGGAGATCTCAGCACTTGGGATCCCACGCCTTTAATCCCAGTTCTAGGGGGGTATATAAGATAGGAGTGGGGTATTCAGTATTCAGTCTCAGAGATTTATTCTTCAGCCATACTGAGGACAGAACAGCTCTTTCAGACTAAGGTAGAGGTAAGAGCTAGTGGCAAGCTACTTTGCTTCTTTGATCTTTCAACTTGAACTCCAATACTGTGTCTGGGTTTTTTTTATTATGACACTGACTACAAAAGAGTATTCATAGAATTGGGTGTGGTAGGACAAGCCTGTAAGCCCAGCATTCAGGAACCTAAAACAGGAAAATCAGTGATTTGAGTCCATACTGAGCAACACTGGCATTTTGTCTGAAAAAAGGAAAAGAGAAGAAAGCGAAAGAGATTACAGAAGAGGAGAGTAAATAGAGGAAGAGAGCAGAGATGAAAGGGGAAGGGAGAGGAGGGACATCATAAAAGAGTAGAAAATTTTCTGTCACTCCCATGACTATCGCTATAGTAGCATCATAGCATCAGGTATCACTGAGACGTCTGTGATACTGTGTACTATGCTATCAATAACACAAAAATTATCAGAACCAATTATATGCATAATATTTGGTAATAAAAATAACTATGTTACTAGGTTATATATTTACCACACCATACCTCTATCATTATTTTAGAGTACAAGCCTTAGAAAACATTTACTGTTGAAAGTATGCTATGTCATCCTGGTATAGCCTCAAATACCTTGTGCTTACTGCATTTCCTAACTGTATCAAGAAACTACATTGAGTGATCTATGCCATCTAGTTCTGTAGTCTCTATGATGTCACATAATGATAAAAATCAGCTAACGATGCATTTCTCAGAATGCACTGTCATTGTTACATGCCGCATTACTCTCACTAGTTACATCAGCAGCATACTTCCAATTACTAATTTCTATTATTAGAGGGGTTAAGAGTGAGCATGAGAAAGAGAGAGAGAAATTTATTCTAAGATGGCTCTTGTGATTATAGAGATTAAGAAGTCTCATGATCTGCTACGTGGAAACTATAAGGAAAACCAGTAGGATAGTAAGACGGTACAATAGCTTGAGTGTTATTGCAGTGCATTCCAATTTGGGTTTGAAGGCCTAAGAACCAAAAACACTGAGAGAAAATGCTCCACATCCCAAGTCATGTGGTCTAGTAGTCAATTCGATTTTTCTCTACCCCTTTGTTCTACTCAGACTCTCAAAGTACTAGATGACACCTATCTACATGGATTAGGGCAGCCAAGTTCTCGGGAAAACATCCACAGAGATAAACTCCAAAGTAAGGTAATCAGCTATCTGGGATATTTGAGCAGCTTCTAGCTCTACACAGTTAACAACTATATTATTGCAGAATGAGTGGTGACCCAAACAACTACTCAATTAGTATTTAAAATGCACTTATGTATATATTTATTACAAAAAAATATACCTTTGTAAAACCTATTTGTTCCTTCCGAAAACTTTCCAGGGGTTTTATCAGCAAGTCACTAGCATTTTGTACCTGAATAAAAAGAAAGAAAACAATGTTTAGATTAACAAGGTTCAAATACAAACTTGTTGTTCCTTATCATTAGAATTTTCTTTAAAATATATTATCCTGCTGCATGGTGTTGGCACATGCCTTTAAACCCAGCACTCAGGAGGCAGAGGCAGGTGGATCTCTGTGAGTTTGAGGCCAGCCTGGTCTACAGAGTGAGTTCCAGGACAGCCTGATCCACACAGAGAAACCCTGTCTTAAAAAACCATATATATGTGAAGAGACCAGACCGTCATCAGCCCCCTGCTTTGGCAGCCATACCAGGCTGCAGAAAAGAGCCAGCAAGAGGTTGGTCTCTGACTCAGCAACATGTGCTGAGCCCCCAACCTTGCATGACCTTGTCCTAGTCACTAGGAAGCCAGACACTCCACATGGCAAGGAAACATCAAAAGTTAGCTCATGGGCTTTGGAATGCACAGCATAGCAACCACCCTGAGAAAACCTATAGGCAGAGCAATCTTGTTGCAGCTGCAGCTGACCAGTCAACTCAGGACAGATTGCCCAAGCCCAGAAGTGCACCAATCCTGAGAATTGTTGCAGACCTCAGACACTCCCCTTGCTCTACCCCAATATATTCCCTGCCCCACTGCTGCTCGAGGTCCCTCCTGGTCCCTGCCTGCTTCACCGGCTGTATCAGATGGACTAGTAAAATTAAACACTTTTTGCTTTTGCATCAGATCAAGTCTCTTGGTGATTTGGGGGTTAAGAGTTTGGGCAATACATACATACATACATACACACATACACACATACATACATACATACATACATACATACATACATACACACACACATGCATGCATCATCCTGCAAGCACTTTCTGAAGAGGGCACTGTTAGCACAGGCACTTAGATCAACAATTAATAAATGGGATCTCATGAAACTAAAACCTGTCAGGGAAAAGACACCATCAATAGGACAAAATGGCAGCCCACAGAATTCGAAAAGATTTTTACCAAGTTCACATGTGACAGAGGGATAATAGCCAAAATATATAAAGAACTCAAGAAACTAGACATCAACAAATTAAATAATCCAATCAAAAGTGGGATACATATATAAACAGAGAATTCTTAACAAAGGAATCTCAAATAGCCAAGAAATACTTCAAGAAATGTCTAGCATTCTTAGCCACTGGGAAAATGCAAATCAAAAAGATTCTGACATTCCATCTTACACCTATCAGAACGGCTAAGATCAAAACCACAAGTGACAGCTCATGCTGGAGAGGATATGGAGTAAGGGAGTGTAAACAAACTGCTGCTGGTGGGAGTGTAAACAAATAACCATGTTTGGAAACCACAATGGCAGTTCTTCAGCTGTCTATCCCCATATTCCCCATCATCCCCTCTTTCTTCCCTCTCCTCACTTAAACCTCCCTTTCCAACCCACCCATCCATAGCCATCTATTTTATTTCATTTTTCTAGGGAGATCTATCTGCCATCCCACCCCCAAATCCATTACTCTATACCTAACCTCTGTGGTTCTATAGATTGTTATTTGGTTATCATTGACTTAACAGCTAATATCCACATATAAGTGAATAGAGTCCATATTTGTCTTTTGTGGTCAACATTACCTTACTCAGTATGATTCTTTTCTAGTTTCCTCCACTTACCAGAGAATTTAATGACCTTCTTTTTAACAGCTAAATAATACTCCATGTATAAATATACCACATTTTCTTAATTCACTCTCCTGTTGAGGGACATCTAGGCAGTTTCCAGTTCCTGGCTATTATGAATAGAGCATCAATGAACATGATTCAGCAAGTGTCTCTGTGGTAGGATGAAATATCTTATTGGGTATATGTCCAAGAGTGGCACAGATGGATTTTGAGGTATACAAATTCCCATCTTCCTGAGGAACTGTCACATTTATTTTCATAGTGGCTGTACAAGATTGCACTCACACCAGCAATGAATGAGTGTTCCTTACTCCACATCCTCATGAGCATGAACTGTCGATTGTTTTATTGATCTTAGCCATCCTGGCAGGTGTAAGATGAAATCTCAATAAAATTTTGATTTACATATTTTTAATTACTAAGTATGTTGTTTCTCACCCATTTTATTTTCCTCTTTTTAGAACTCTTTGTTTAAATCTGTACCCCATTTCTATTTGGGTTATTTGTTTCCTTGATATTTAGTTTTTGAGTTCTTTGTATGTTTTGGATATTAGTCATCTATGGAATGTATAATTCGTAAAAAAGACCCATTCAGTAGGCAGACACTTTTTATGAATGATGGTGTCCTCTGCCTTACAGAAGCTTTTCAATTTCATGAGATCCCATTTATTAATCTTTGATCTTAGTGCATATGTTATTAGTGTTCTGTTCAGAAAGTTGTCTCCTGTATGAATACATTCAATATCCAATGCTATTTCCTACTTTCTCTTCTATCAGGTTCAGTGCATCTGGCTTTATGTTGAGGTCTTTGATCCATTTGGCGTTGAGTTTTCTGCAGGGTAATGTGTATGCATCTATTTGGATTCTTCTACATGCTGACACCCAGTTTGACCATCACCATTTGTTAAAGATGTTGTCTTTTATTCACTGTGTATTTCTGGTTTGTATAACTCAATAAAAAATAATAAAGTGCAGAGGCCACTTCTCAAAAAAAATCAGGTGCCCATAGGTGTTTGGTATTATGTCTGGGTCATCAAGCAGATTTCATTCATCAACATGTTGGGCTTTATGGTAATACCAGCTGTTTTTATTATAATAGTTCTGTAGTACAATTTGAGGTAAGGGATGGGTGATATCTTCAGCAGTTTTGCATTATTCACAATTATTATACCTATCTTGGGAACTATTTTCTTATGAAGCTGAAAATTCTTGCAATTTCTGTGAAGAACTGTGTCAGAATTTTGATAGGGATTGTGTTGAGTCTGTAGATTGCTGTTGACAACATGACCATTTTTACTATAGTAAGCATATCAATCCATAAGCATGGGAGATCTTTCCATCTTCTGACACCTTCCTCAACTTCTTACTTCAATGTCTTAAAGTTTTTAGTATCTAAATCTTTTACTTACTTGGTTAGCATTACCCCAAGATTTTTTTTAGTCTACTGTAAAGGGTATTGTTTCCATGATTTCTTTCTCAGTCTGTCATTTGAATATATGAAGGCTACTGCTTTTTATGAGTTAATTTTGTATCCTGCTGCTTTGCTGAAAGTGTGTATCAGCTGTAGGAGTATTGTGAGGTTGGGTAAGGGTCATTTACTTATACAATCATCATCTGCAAATGAAGATAATTTGATATCTTTTCTTCCTATTTGTGTCCTCCTTGATCTCCTTCAGCTGTCTTATTGCTCTAGATTAAGAGGTCAAGTACTACACTGAATAGGCAGAGGGAGTGCACAACTTTGTCTTGTTCCAGGTTTTAATGGAAATGTTTAGAGTTTCTCTCCATTTAAGTGGATGCTGGCTGAGGGCTTGATGATTGTTTTAATTATGTTGTGTTATGTCTCATGTATCCTTAGTGTCCAGGATTTTTATCATGAAGGGGTGTTGGAAATTGCCTTTTATACATCAAATTAGATTATCATGTAGATTTTGGTTTTTAGTCCATTTACATGATATATTACATTTATTAATTTATATAAATTGGAGCATCGCTGCATCTCTAGAATGAAGACGACTTGATCATGGTGGATGATCTTTTGATTTGTTCTTGTATTCAGTTTGCAAACAACTTATTGAGAACTTTTCCATCTATGTTCATAAGGAAAACTGGTCTGTAATTTTCGTTCTATCTTGGATTTTTATGTGGTTCAGGTATTAGGGAAACTGTGGCCTCATGAAAAGAACTTGGCAATGTTCCTTCTGTTTCTTTTGTTGTTGGTTTCAGGGAGAAGAAAGAAGAGTGACGATTCCAAACATACATGGTTACACAGACAGCAAGGCCAGTGGATTTCCAGGGTAAGCTTTTTATTTTTTTTACCTTATAGGTTGTTTGCTTATACATTATGATTCCTGGTTTTTATGGGTTTTCTGTGTGAATCTCTGTATCTGTTTGCTTCTTGTCCTTTTTCTTTGGCTCTTTTTTTCTGTTAGTCTGTCCTATTCTGGTTTGTTTGCCTTTATTTTATCTTTTTTTAGTTTTATTATTACTACTCAGCATCTACTGAGGTCCTGTGCAGTATAGGCCTAGATTTGGGTTGTGAACTTTAGGCTTACTATCTCCTTTAAATGAAGACTTTGTTACATTTTAGTTTCCTCTGAATAAGAATCCACACTAAATGAGATAGTTAATTTACTACTTCCATTCAAAATTTAATTTGTGATCTATTCATTTTACCTGTGTCTTTTGACTAGCAAATTGAAACCATTAATGTTCAAAGTTATTAGTGAATGGTATTTATTAATTGCTTTCTTTTTTATTTGTGTTCTTAGCTTTATTTTGTGTTGCTGAAATTATAGTTTCATTTGTTTTCTTGCTATAGCCTCTTGCACTGGCTTATTCCTCTCTTCAGTCTAAAGTAGTACTTTTAGTATTCTCTGTAGGGCTGGTGTGTGTGTGTGTGTGTGTGTGTGTGTGTGTGCGTGTGCGTGTGCGTGTGCGTGTGTGTGTGTGTGTGTGTAAAACAGTAATAATTAAAGAAAAAGGCCATGAATTTGAAAAGGGGGAGTCTAGAGGACATGGAAATAGTTGTGGGCAGGGAAGAATGGGTGGAAAGCTTGTAAATAAGTAAATACAGTACTCCGTGTATGTACTTCTTAAAAAACAAAAATTTCAATTAAAAACTCTAAAAAATATTGCTTACCCTTGCTGCCTCTTACTAAAACAGATCTCTTACCTACATGGTCTCCTAGAACCTCTGTGATTCTTAATTCTCATCACATATCTACTTATCTACCAGAACTATGAAACCTTTTTCCAGATCCTACTTGATCTTATTCATACAAATACCTCCTCCCAGTATGGCACATAATATCCCGGTATCTGACTGTGTTCATC